GGCCAGGAAGGCTCACGTGCCATTTGTTTACCGACCTTTTGCCCTGCACTGCCTTGGACTTTCATCTTCGCCTGCCTCCGCGCCCAACCGGCGTTTCACCTTCGCCCGGCCGCCCCCAGCCCAGAAATCCCCTACACGCTGAGAGCTTTGGCCTTCAGAGCCATACAACAACAAGGAAATGCTCGCTGTGAGTGCCCAAAGCCGAGCATGAACGTGCGCGAGCACTCATGCACCGCCTAGAAATCCGCGCCTCAACACAACCCCAAAGTCTGAAATCCATCCCTCAAGCCGCCAGAGGGACACGAAAGCACAAGCCAGCTTGCAAACACTCGCTCCGAGGCCGTGGCACAGGGACAAGAAGACCTGCTCAAGCTGCTGCCTCAAGCATTCACTGTGCGCATGTGGCACTTTCAGACCTGCAAATGGCACCAGGATGGGGAGCTTAGGGCGCCCAGGAGTTCACTCTGAGCCCGGCACGTAGCAGATGATGAAGCAGTCAGCCAAGCCCTGGGCTGGACACCTGCAAATAGATCACGAAAAGGAAGAGCGTGATAGCGAATGATATGCTTGTTTCACTGCGTGCAGGCAAGACCAGCTGGACATGAAAGCTGGACGGTCGTCTGGCTGAGGAGTGTGTTAATGTCTACAGCCCTCAGATTCAAACATCAATGCCGAAGGAAGACAGGAGAGCACACTCCAAAATACGTCGATGGCGAGGACGCGATGAGTACCCAAGAAGACTGGAAACTGAAGACCTGTGTAAAAGGTATGTGCAAAGCAACTACAAAAAGGCGAACACCAACTCCCTAGCGGCCCGAGCGAAGCCTCAACCTCAACACAACCTTTTGCAAGAGGAAGAAAAAGGCAGAAGAGCTCTGTACGACTTCGGGTGTTTCGGGTTGTGGAAACGATTAGGGCCTGCAGAGACTCAAAGTCTTACCTCAAGACACCCCACAGCGAACCCTCAACCTTGGATCAAACCCTCGACAGCCGTGGAAGCACAACCGAGCAGAGGAACACTGCAAGACGCTCAGAGCCTGCCGCGCAACAACCGCAAGATGGCCGAAATCGATACCTGAAGGGCCGTAAACGGCTACAAAGAGACGTGCAGCAAGCTTTCAAGGTCTGCAAGGGGTCACTGCAGCGTTGAATCACTAGACTCACTACAAACCTTCAAGACTTGCAAAGCATGGAGACTCAGGGGACCGGACACAAAATGAAGACAAAGACAAGGATCTGGCTTTCCGTGCCGCAGGAGTTTCACCGTTTCACCTTCACTTCGGTCTCTGCGCCCGGGGCCCCTGCTTGTCGCAGCCTGCACTGCACCACGTGCGCTCCCGAACATTGCTGGCCTGGCAGACTCTTCCACACCAAGCCTGAAGCCGAAAGTCTGAGAACCATTGCCCGATCTGCGCAGTCCGAGGGCAAGCCGTCAATGCTCTTTCTGATGCACGCCTTCTGATGCACTCCTACGGCAACAGCTGCTCGTGCACTTGCGCTCTCGGGTCTATGGGTAGGCCAGGCTAGCGTTGCCTGAATTTGTTCGTCTTGCATTCCATCGGACAGGGCTGAGAGGTCGGCTCTGTGAAGCAATCGTTCTTCGTTGAGCAGAAGTTATTGCCCATGGCACCGCTCAAAGTTTTTCTCCCGCAGCAGACGTCTTTGACCGGGTCCGATGTCTTGGTCTCCGTCTCTGCCGTAGCGCTCGAGCCCTCCAGGAAAGAAGCGCACTGACTCGGGCAAGCCCAGCCCTCTTTCTTCGGGACGAAGCAATCATCCGAGAAGCATCCGTTGCGGTGGGCAGTAGAATCGAAGCAGCAATTTAGCTTGACCTTCTCCACCGCCTTGTCCTGATCAGCGTCATGGCTCTTGATCTCCGTCTCTGTCATGGCATGCTCCGGCCGAAGGCCAAGCACGAAGTCCCGTGCCACGAGGAGGCATGACGCCACGAGGAGGCGCGACATGTCTTTCACACACAAGGAGCGCCCCGAAAAGGGGGTCTTTGCTGACTAAAGTTGAAGGCTGCACTCGCTTGAGCCGGAATGGTGGAGAGATGCGAGCGCGTGCCCTGACGAAGGCCCGTGCACCTTTGCTTGCGAGAAGAATACAGCTCTTGTGTTTTGACAGGAGTTTCACGTCCCCCCTGGCCTGTGCAGACTTTCCTTACCCCCCAAGGGGACCTGTCCTGCTGCTGTCATCAGCAAAAAATGGCCAGGGAAGAGCATTGTCGGAGAGAGGCCAGGACGGCTCGCGTGCCATTTGTTTACCGACCTTTTGCCCTGCACTGCCTTGGACTTTCATCTTCGCCTGCCTCCGCGCCCAACCGGCGTTTCACCTTCGCCCGGCCGCCCCCAGCCCAGAAATCCCCTACACGCTGAGAGCTTTGGCCTTCAGAGCCATACAACAACAAGGAAATGCTCGCTGTGAGTGCCCAAAGCCGAGCATGAACGTGCGCGAGCACTCATGCACCGCCTAGAAATCCGCGCCTCAACACAACCCCAAAGTCTGAAATCCATCCCTCAAGCCGCCAGAGGGACACGAAAGCACCAGCCAGCTTGCAAACACTCGCTCCGAGGCCGTGGCACAGGGACAAGAAGACCTGCTCAAGCTGCTACCTCAAGCATTCACTGTGCGCATGCGGCACCTTCAGACCTGCAAATGGCACCAGGATGGGGAGCTTAGGGCGCCCAGGAGTTCACTCTGAGCCCGGCACGTAGCAGATGATGAAGCAGTCAGCCAAGCCCTGGGCTGGACACCTGCAAATAGATCACGAAAAGGAAGAGCGTGATAGCGAATTATATGCTTGTTTCACTGCTTGCAGGCAAGACCAGCCGGACGTGAAAGCTGGACAGCCGTCACATGAGAGGACTTGTGCTCTGGCTTAGCTCTCGAGAGGGCGCGCGCAATTTTTCTCGCGGATGCCAGCGACAACAGAAACCCAACCGCTCACAACCCCTCAATGCCGAAGGAAGACAGGAGAGCACACTCCAAAAACGTCGATGGCGAGGACGCGATGAGTACCCAAGAAGTGGCAGGAAGACTGGAAACTGCAACCTGACTATCGGCAAGCCTTGAACACCTGTGCAAAAAGGATGTGCGAAGCAATGTTCATGATTACAAAGAACGAACCCCAACTAACTGGCGGCCCGAGCGAAGCCTCAACCTCAACACAACCTCTTGCAAGAAGCAGAAAAAGCTGAAGGGCTCTGTCGGGCTTCGGGCGTTTCGGGTTCAGGTGGACTCAAAGTTTTGCCTCAAGACACCCCTCAACCTTGGATCAAAACCCTCGACAGCCGCAGAAGGACAACCGAGCAGAGGAACACTGCAAGACACTCAGAGGCTGTCGCGCAATAATCGCAAAGATGGCAGAAAATGATACCTAAAGGACAGTAAACGGCTACAAAGAGACGTACAGCAAGCCCTCAAGGTCTGCAGCGTTGAATCACTAGTAGTCACTAGACTCACTAGACTCGGGAAGCCTGGCTGAGAACAGGTAACCTTCAAGACTTGCAAAGCCTGGAGGCTCAGGGGACCTGACACGAAATGAAGACAAAGACAAGGATCTGGCTTTCCGTGCCGCAGGAGTTTCACCGTTTCACCTTCACTTCGGTCTCTGCGCCCGGGGTCCCTGCTTGTCGCAGCCTGCACTGCACCACGTGCGCTCCCGAACATTGCTGGCCTGGCAGACTCTTCCACACCAAGCCTGAAGCCGAAAGTCTGAGAACCATTGCCCGATCTGCGCAATCCGAGGGCAAGCCGTCAATGCTCTTTCTGATGCACGCCTTCTGATGCACTCCTACGGCAACAGCTGCTCGTGCACTTGCGCTCTCGGGTCTATGGGTAGGCCAGGCTAGCGTTGCCTGAATTTGTTCGTCTTGCATTCCATCGGACAGGGCTGAGAGGTCGGCTCTGTGAAGCAATCGTTCTTCGTTGAGCAGAAGTTATTGCCCATGGCACCGCTCAAAGTTTTTCTCCCGCAGCAGACGTCTTTGACCGGGTCCGATGTCTTGGTCTCCGTCTCTGCCGTAGCGCTCGAGCCCTCCAGGAAAGAAGCGCACTGACTCGGGCAAGCCCAGCCCTCTTTCTTCGGGACGAAGCAATCATCCGAGAAGCATCCGTTGCGGTGGGCAGTAGAATCGAAGCAGCAATTTAGCTTGACCTTCTCCACCGCCTTGTCCTGATCAGCGTCATGGCTCTTGACGTGACGAGAACTCTCCGTCTGCCCGCTGGAGCCCTCTTCCAGCAAAGAAGGATCGGAATCAGGGCAGCCCCACCCGGAGCAGCATTCCTTTGGACAAATCACATCCGTACCCGGCGGGGCAAAAGGGAGGTCCCCTGCGGATGCACATTGCTGCGGGTAGCATTTGTTCTCTTTGGCAACCCAATCATGGCAGCAATACGATGTTGGCTTGTCTGGCTCCACCGCTTTGGCGGTTGCTGCCTCCACCACTGTGGAATTGCTCCGGGCGTAAGCAAAGTGCAAAGTGCACTTGCGCAAGTAAGGAAAGACTCACGAAGGCCGGGCTCCAATGAGTCATGTTTCACAGAGGACGAGTTTGAATCAGTTTGAAGGCTGTGAGGGCTAGCGCTTGGGCCAAGAAGGAGATCAAAGAGTACAGACAGCTCTGTGCCCCTGCGAGCCAACCGCCAAGCATGTTGTTCAGTGGCCAAGTGAGGTGTTAACATTAACGGTGGGTCCCGGCATGCCTGTCAGCACGGGGTGCATGTCCAGGTAATTGTCCAGATACTGCCTCCACCGCTCTCCAAAAAGACACATAGCAGCGACAGGAGCCAGAGTTGCCCCTCTTGACCCGAGGCCCGGGCGTGCGCCGCAGAAGTCCCGTCAATGCGGATAAACACATACCAGATTCTTGAGATTAACAACCATAACAATGAAAGTTGCAGCAGCATGTGATTTGTGATAATCGAGTACCACTCTGGCACGCGCTTGCTTGGACAGGGCCGGAACTGTACATGGACGAGTCCGCTCCGTTTTTCGGTCACCGCGCGGCGAGTACTGCACTGGACCCGAGCTCGTCGCCGAAGAGGAAGGCCTGCAGCCTCCGGCCCCGGACAACACGGAGGCATCTGCGTTGAGATCGTTCTGTCCAGGGCTCTTCTGGAGTCGGAGCGGGCAGCCACTATTTCAAGCTCTGGGTGCTTTCAACAAGATAGGACGATCTGTGGAGCTACTCGATACTTCTGAGACCAGCTATCTTTAGCACAGCTGGTTCAAGGAGCAATGAGGAGGCTTGGAGTATGCACAGGGGCAAAGACAGTTTCAGGAGAAAAACATGATGCAGCTTACAACTGAGGGGCCAACAGTGGCACAACTTTGATGCCTGGGTTGCCAAGGGTCAATGCTAAGGGCCTATTCCACTGCCTCGCGTGCTGCCTGCTGGCTTTGTCAGACCTGTTCCTACCCCACGAACTGATCTTAATGCCAGGGCGCATGAGATGTCTGCAAATAGCAGTTGCACTTCCTGGCTGCGGGCCAGGTTGGGATGTACTCGACATTCGCCTCAGACCTCCAGACCTCCAGATGACGACCTGGCCCTGCTGTGCTCTGAGCAACAATCTCTGGTTTGGGTTCTTAGGCTCATGAGGTTTGTGGTAAATGGTGGTGTTGTAGTGTGTTGGGCCTTGGGGTTTCGGGGGAATGCGATCCCCGAAGTCTTCGCGGACCTCCAGACGCCGGGCGCCGAGAACGAGCCTTGGCCACCCAAGAAAGCCCTGACGTCCGACACTTGCGAACAACACAAAAAATGGTGTACGATACGTGTATATATATAATTATATATATATACAAGCTTCTAATCTTGGTCTTGTACGGAGCTTATACATATATATATATATATACATATACATATACATATATATGCGTGTGTGTACGGATGATTACGTATGTACGTATGCACGCATCCCAGTATGTACGTACGTACGTATGTATGCATGGCACGAAAAGAGCTTCTAGATAGATAGGCAGACCGATAATATTGATAGACAGGCAGGTAGATAGCTAGATAGGTTAGCAGGTAGACAGGTAGATAGATAAGATAAGACGAGATTCGGCAAATAAGAGGTTAAGTAAGATGCAAAGGTAGATAAGACAGATAGATACGGCTAGAGATAGAGAGGGATCTGCAGTAGTATACGTATGGTCCGTATAGTTATACGTAGCGAGATACATCTATACCTATGTAGACACCTTTGATAGAGAGAGAGGGAGAGACAGAGATAGAGAGGGCTAGGCTGATACAGATAGAGATAGATCTAATTGGATAGATAGATTAGCTGCGGCTAGATTTGATTACACTAGATTGCATTGGATTGGAGTAGGATTGATCTGTAGTAGATCAGATAGATCTGATAGATAGCTAGATCGATTGATAGATATAGTAAAACATATTTACAGACGGACAGACAGTTACTTCGATAGGCAGATGGATAGATCGCTTGCTCAACCCGTTTTTCCTGCCCTTGCATGTATGGTAAAGTCGCGGTGCCGGGCGCGGAAGGCGAAGATGGCGGCGGCGAGGATCGGCACCAGAACGGGGGAGTCGAAACTGAAGCGAGAAGTCCGTAAGCTTGGGCAGCTTGGGGGTGGGGTTGGGGAAAAAATAAGGAAAAGGTTGGTTGTAGGGTTCTGCCCCCCGACCCTACATAGGCCCCTATGTCGTTTTATCAACATAGCTCACTTTAATAATATTTCGTTTTGTTGTCATCTTAATCAATTTTTTGTATTAATTCTGGCAAAATTTTTAACATATTTTATACAGAATTACCTTATGCATTTTCACATTAACGCTCCTCTAACATTTAAACACAAATTTTCACAAATTTCCAACAATTTCTCAAAAAATCCCAGCCCCAGTCATCTCATTCATTTTAACAAAATTTAAAATCAGTTTTAGGCATCTCTAACGTTATAATTTTCTAGGGTTTTTGTCCTTGTAGTAGTTTTTTCAAATATATTGTTTCGGCATCTGTTTCATTACTTTAAATTTAATCTCCTACTTCGTTTTTGTATTTACTCCTCTGTTTCATTCTAATTTTTTTCAAAATTTATCAAAAAATTATCAAAAAATATCGTCACCTTATTCAGGTTTTTTCGCCTCTCATTTGTATTCAGCTTCTGTCATGGTTTATGTATAATATTCTATATAATATTATGTCTACATTTATAATAATATTATATATCAATATTATTATGAATGCTTTAATTTTCATCTTCTTCTTTATCAAATATGTCATTTAAATGTTTTTGCAGTTCATCAAGATTTAAATACTTAATATCATTACCTATAAAATTAACAAGAAACTCATACATAATGTTTTTAAACAATAGTTTATCCGGGTATGATTTCCTGTAATAGTCATAATGTAATATTAAAATATTTTCACGTCTAGTAACATGTTTCATTGTTTCCTTATTATGAAGAAAAGATAGTATCAAATCAAACTTATCAAAAAACCTTGTTCGTCTGTTCTTAATAAAAGATATAATTACTTTCTTATAAGGGTTATCACTTTTCATAAACATATTTACTAACTTTTGTTTTTTCGTTTCTCTATCATCATAAACGAAATATACATCAAAATTGTCTCTTTCTTTTAATATATAAAGTTGCTTTTCAAAATTTGTTAGTAAACCTTTATCATGTATATCAAATGGGTAATCATCTTCTAAGTTGATAAGACGATTACAACTATCACAACAGTTAAAAGACTGTATAATACTTCCTATTTCTTCTGGTAATATTTTATTTAATGTTTCCTTGTTATGATGTTTTCGCATATGCTTACACTGTTGGCACTTGCTATAATCAAATATGGTCATTTTCCCTACTATTCTAGGGCGTTTTTTCTTTAAGTAGTTTTTTACCATTTATTTATTAATTAACAATAATTCATGACGTAAATAACGTTTAGGTAATCCTTCAAGAACATAATATTTATTAAGTTGCATATCGCGTTCAACACTTTTAACTTCATAAGTCTTCTCACTCCATTTTGAACGAGACTCTTTGAAACTGGTATAATTGCCACCGCTTTTTGTATAGATTTTTACAGTATCGCCTTCACTGATATTTGGATAATTTCTTAAATATTTTTCTTTCAATACTGAGTTAGACTTTACTGTTATGTGGTTATCGTCTTTATGTGATTCATTAGGTGTAAGACCAGTCGTTGAGTGAACCATTTGTTTATTATATTTATCTAATACAGGTTTTAACATAATTGTCCAAGCTCCTTGTTTATGAACTTGTAACCTATCACTTATCATCTTCTTTAATGTTCTGATGACACGCTCTGCCACTGACGCATGAGTTAAAGTTATGTTATGTATAATTCCGTTATCTTTCAAATATGTTTGTAATATTTTATCATTAAGTGCCCCTTCATCATCACTATAAACTGATTGAGGATAACCCATTACCTTAAAACATTCCTTTAAGGCATTTAATACAGTTGGTCCGTCTTTATTTTGCATTGGAACTACATGACATTTTTTACTAAAATTATCAATACAAACAAAACCATATAATGGATATTCCTTTTTATAAGTGTTTGTATCCTTCATTAGACTAATCATATTCATCAAATCAACAGAATAAATTGCACGAGCAAAAGGAGCAGAAAAACTATTATATTGTTTATAACCGCTTCTTTGTTTTACTGATTGATTTTTTAACCATTCTTTAACTTCTTCTTGTGTGATTACCATACCTGCTTTTATTGCATCATCATATAAACTCTTAGCACTACCGAAGCCTCGCTCAATATCAAAATATAACTCAGATAATTTTGCTTCTTTACTCATCAATTAATATTATTTAGAAATTAAATAATATCAATTCCATAATAAGACTTTGTTTACTATTTTATCCGTTATTTCTTTTTCTAACTTATCTTCATAATTTCTTATACATCTCTTTGTTTTTTGATGTTTTGATTTATTGGTTCCGCTACTTATCATTCTTCCACATTTTTCACACTCATAACATCTGTCATTGCTTTTATAATAATCTTTAAAATATCCTCGTTCTTTATTAAGCTTATTATGCTTATCATTTGATAACTTTTTATTTCGCTTTCTTTTCTCTTCATTGTTGGTTTCTTCTTCTTCTGGTTCTTCTATTGAGTTCCATAAGACATCAAATAAGTCATCATCAATGTCTATTTTATTTCCGTTGCCCATTACTAAGCATGTCATAACTATCTTATATATTAATGCTAGGTTTTCTTTAAGTATGTTTTTTTAACTTGTTATTGACCTAGCGCTTCCTCTGGAACTTCTGCTTCTAATGTATTCTATTGTTTCTTGACTTCTGCGAGAACTAACAACACTAATAGGCGGTGTTGCTTCATCTACATATTCAATAGTTCTATCACTAGGAACGGAACTTTGCACTGTTTCAACAGGCGAAGAATTAATATAATCACTTAATGCTTCTTCTTCAAGTGGCATTAAAACACTTCTGTTTGAACTTCTTATAGAACTTGAAGAAGATGATGAAGGCTCATAAGATTTCTTAACATTCATAGGTAAACTATTATCGCTCTCTTCACTTTGTTGTTTCTCTATAGATGGTTCACTTGTTATTTCTTCTTCTTCTATTTGCTCTCTCCTATTTCTCATTTCTTCTCTTTCTTCTTCAAACTCATCTTCTCCAAACATAGCTTCATAAACTCTCCTCATTACTGATTTATTTTGTGTTTTTTCTCTGTCTCGTTCTTGTTCTTTCTCATTACTTTGTATCTGTTTAACTTCTTCTTCTTCTGGTGTTTTCATACTTTCTGTTATACTTGGTGTTTCATTAAATCTATCTGTTTGTGTTCCTTTATCTGGATTATCATTAAGTATTATTGTCTTTTTATTATATTTATCTAAATCAAAATCATCAAAATTAACATCATGTAATAATATTCCTTGTTGTGTTCTTCTTTCCCTCTCCGGTAATACTTTTAATCTTCGTGTTCTTGCTTCCCTTTCAATTTGTTCAAATGTTGGCTTTAAGCGTAGCATATATTAAACATATATATTTTATACTGGTAAAAATGATTTTGCTAAAGCCGTTGCTCCAGCTTTTGCTAAAGTTTCAACTCCCGCTTTTGCTCCAGCTACTGCTATATCTCTTAAAGGTGTTGATGATGTGGATTGTGAAGGTAGTAATTGTCCTACTCCACTTGATGATGCTGAAGGTTCAACAACTTTTGATTTTACTTGTCTTCTAATTTTCTTGAATTCTCTAATTTTACGACTTAGTTTTTCACTGTTAAAATCAGCATACCATTCATCATTTTCAGCTAGACCCTCCATAAGCAATACTAAAACCTTTTTCTTTTTCTGGTCTGTTGGTGTTTTGTTTAACATTTCTATTGTTCCTTCATTTAATAAGTCTCTAACATATAACTGAAACATTAAACCTCTGTAGTTTATACTGTCATCATTTAATACCTCATCAGGGTCAAAACCACTTGTAAACGCTACTTTTTGTTCTAATGCTGTTAGTTCGTCTTCTTCTTCTTCTTCTCCAATACTTTTATTATGAAATACAGTCTTAAATAATTCATCAACTTTTGCCTTTGTATCTTCCCTTGGTTTTCCGACTCCTCTTGCTGTATGATTATAAGACAGTTCTGAATATCTTTTTAATTCATCGTCCTGTAACAGTTTTTCTTTTTGTGCAATTGCAAACAAATTTAATAATCCATCTATATTTACTTCTTCAGGCTCAATCTTTGAAAAATCGTGCAAGGGAAGATTTTGTATGTTTTTTCTTGCGTCTTCTCTTAAAATTTGAAATTTATATATCTCATTTAGTAAATCAAGTCTTCTTTGTTTTTCTTTGTCTTCAGTATTAAGCGCTTCTTGTTGTTGTGGTGGTGCTGGTAATGATGGGGGGTATCCTTGATTACTTTTAACTGGAACATCCATTGAATGAACTGGAACACCAGCCGGTAAAACTTGACTATGAACATCACTTAAATCATTTTTAGCCATTTGACTAATTTCAAACTGTTGATTTCTAACTTGTTCTCTATATCTTTCAGTATCACCTATCATTGAAGCTCTGATTATATCTAATGCTCGTTGTTCTTCTTCTTGTTTTTGCAGTCTAAACTCTTCAAAATTATTTCTAAATTCTGCTAAATCTTCTGTTGTTGGTTCTGGTCTTAACATTAAATCTTCATAAACTACAGCGGGTGTTTGAAAACCACTTGTATTAATTGACATTAATCCTGTTGATGTTCCTTGCTGTATTCCTGCGTTTCTTAACTGTGCTTGTCTTAAGTTATCCTTCGCTCTATCTTCTTCTTGCTTCTTCAATCCTAGAAAATCAATATTATCAAATTGACTACCAAACTGATTATTTCTAAATAATGTTGCTTTCCTGTCTATTACTTGTTCAATTGATGGTCTGTTGGGGTCTCCTTGACTTTCAACCATTCCTATCATTTCTTCATAGGTTGGGCGTAATTTTAACTCAGATTTTAATGTTTTTATCATTTTTATATTTTATATTAGATTTTAATTTATTTCCGCCATTATATCTTTTAA